CCCCCCCCCCCCCCCCCCCCCCCCGGCACGGCCTCCGCAAGTCACCTCTAGGTAGTTGAGGCTGTCGAACACGCGGAAGACGTCCATGCCGGCCTTTTGGGCCTCCTCGCAGAACCTGAACACCACGTTGTCCGGGTACGAGGTGTAGCCGACGGCGTTCGCCCCCCTCAGCAGCATCTGAAAGGGGATGTCGGGTACCGCCTCCCTGATCTTCGCCAGACGGTCCCACGGGCACTCCTGAACAACAACACAAAAAAAAAAGGGTTTTGGTGACGAGAACGCCAGAAGGGCCGGGAAAACAAACAACCTTGAGCAGCCGAGGCGCATCGATCAGCTTGTCAAAAGGTTGCGCCAGTCTCCATCGCGCACGGGAAAAGCCCGACGTTTGTTTTTTCGTTTTTGAGACAACGAACCAATGAGACCCATCCATTCGACAGCAGCAAACAATCCCTGCTATTCCTTCTCAACAGACCATCGCCAATAACAACGGCCTAGATAGAGCATGCGCACTCAACAGCCGGAACAGCAACACGCACGTAGACAGGCACAGCCCCCCGGAATCCGCACCTTCGGGAGCCAAGGCAGGCCTATCTCTTTGAATCGACAAGTACCCCCCCCCACCCCCCCTCCCCTCCAAAGAACCACCAACAACGAGAACGATGTCCCAAAACAAGGCAACAAAAAAACGCATCCTTACAAACAAAACAAAAACACCACACCGTAGAACCCCTCCCGCCCCCTCCCTTTACCTTGAGGAATCGCATCGACACGTCGAAGGTAGCCCCGCCCCAGCACTCGAGGCTGTAGGCCTTTCGGAGAGCGACCGAGGTGGCCGGGGCGACGTTGAGGAGGTCGATCGTCCGGACCCTAGTGGCTAGCAGCGACTGGTGGGCGTCCCTCCAGGTGGTGTCGGTGATGAGGAGCCCCTCGTTGCTGCGGACCGCCTTCGCGAACGCCTCCGGTCCGTCCTAAAAGAAATAATATTCGTGAGACAGCTGTCGTAAGTACAGCAGTCATGACTCCGCTATGAGGGGGCACCGTAGCGCAAAACAGGGGGTTGTTACGACATAATAGGGTCGAGGGCCGCTATCATGCAACCCTCTTGCAGCGGAGCCACGGCCTTCGTTTGACATCGAAAACTCACCTCATTGTTGTTTGAATTGTTTGGGGGCACAAGCGTGGACTACCTGTCAGGCGGAAACCCCAGACAAAACGAAGCCCATTACCCCCAACAGAACGTTTCAAAGTCGGAACAAAAGTTGGAGCAAAAACAAAATCACGATCTGTTGTAACTCTTTGACATGCCTTCACGTAGATGTCTCGCAGGCTGGGCTCGGTCTTCTTGGGCATGTCGGTCATGGGGTCAAGGGCAGGCACGGTGGGGTCGACGATGGCCGGCTCGCCTCCAACGGCTCCGAGGGAGGGGTCGGGACCGTTCACGATCACGTCCGCGATGTACTTTAGCATCTTTTGGCCACTGTAGAGGGGGCGGGATACCGGGAGAGAGAGAGAGAGGTGCATGTTTACAGCAGTGCGAAGGGTTCTGAGTGCAGTGGTGGTTATGAAAGGAAACGACGAGATGTGTGCGTGGGAGCTGCTGTGTTTCGATATGCTGGTACTCTACACTACACATGAGTCAAGAGGGGGGGGGGGGGGGG